ATGCACTCCCTACTTGACTGTGGTATGGCAAGTTTTTTATCTGTTGGCAAAGTATATAAAGATTCAATTTAAATTAATTAGAATTCTAAATAAAATTTGCTCAGTGCTGAATGGTGTAATGTTATAGAAGTTGCATATGTAGGGATTGCAAACACTTAGAGACTTAGTTTGTAATCCACCATTTAAAATTGAACAGCTAGAGGACTATTCATAAAGCTGGGTCTGATGGTAATTGAACAGGTGGAACCTCCAATGAAGTCACAAGTTTGGTGGTTGCTCTTGCCCATTCATATACAGAGAAGGACAGCTAGGATGGATGATTGGTAATCTGGAGAGGCTTCCATATGAGGAGGAACTAAGTGTAAAACTCTTCAGCTTGAGGAAAAGATGATTGGGAATGGATACAATGAGATGTATAAAATAACGAGTATCGTAGAGAATGCAAATAGGGATTTTTCTTTTTGTGCTTACTCAGTATTGGAAATAGGGAACACATGACAAAGTTGTTAGTAAGCAGGTATAAAACAAGGAAGTACATTTTCATGCAGTGTGTAGTTAACTTAAACCCATTGTCACATGTTGTTGCAGAGGATAGGAAATTAACCAGATCAAAGGAAGATTGGTCAGTTTCATGCAGAAAAGGCCCATTGTGGGTATGAAACATGGTATTTAAGGCTGATTATTAGGATTTTGTAGGCCTCTGAATGCTGGAAGCAGCAAGGAAAGAGGGGCAGCAGACAGATCAGTGGATAAGCCCTGTATAAATTCCCTTCCCCTTAACATCTGTTTTCTGTCACTGAGAGGTGCAGGATACTGGGCTAGATGGATCCATGGTCCACCCCAGTCTGGTACTTATGGTTTTCACAAAGGGGTTCCTTTGGGCAGACTATTGTGGTCACACACTGCTCTTTGGCACATTAGAACTAAAATTTAGGTGCAGCACAGGAAAATATCCCCAAAAGTTGGAGAGAATGTTAAAGATTGGCTTCTTTCCCCATTGTACATTTTTAAAGTGATATAGATATGAAAAACTTAAATCTAGAGTTCAACAAGAAAAGAGTTTTGGCGTCAAAATCTTCCTTTATTTAAGACTGACACTGACACTTTAAAGAGAAGATGCACCAGCCTAAAATCATACTTTTGTCTGGAAAACAGACAGGTGCCTACAGGTAATATGTAAGGTATTTTCTATTTCAGTTTTACTTTATGGGCTTTACAGCATTTCTGCATATAAGGCAGTCCTTGACTTACAACATTTCGAGCTATAACGTTTCACACTTACAATGTTTGTAAATTGACACCGTTTCAACTTTCTGATGTCCGTTTCGACTTTACAATGCTTGATCCAACGCAATGCCACACCTGCAAACAAGTTCTCTGTATCGCCCATCTCCCAAACTTCCTCAGACATTTTCTTTAAGAAAGCAGCCATAACTCCTGAGAAGACTCCAGCCAAGAACCCTTCAAAAAGTCCAACCAAGAGCCCCT